CAAGAATGAATTACAAAAATGAAGGGCTCTTCGAATTGGTTTTAACGAAACATATATCACTGGTGAAAATTACTTAAAGCATTTCTCAAAATAATCTAACATTTCAATAATTTTCGCATTTAAAATTATTTAAAAATAGTTGGTTATCTGCTTGAAATTGAAAATTGAAGTAGAGGAGAAGTAATGAAACTTAAATTCTTGTTCTTCGTATAATTGTTTCTTCGTTTATACGGAAATTAAAGTTGAAAATGTAATAAATATCTTATGCTTTGACGAATGGCAATACGCTAGCGTATGGAAGATAAAAATTATTTCATTTCAGGCGTTGGCAAACAAAATTTTATTAAGTTCTCATAAAACATAAAATAAATAAAACACAAATTGTAATTCATAACTGTGGCTTCGAGGTGCTTATATTTGGGTTAAGGACCATGTGTGCCGAAGATTTTGTGGCGCTAGATTCCGCGGTTTTTCCACATTGCGGGGGATATACGAGGGCCATCCAGGAAGTAGATTACGTTTCCGTCTGTGTCCGCTAGGGGCGGGGCTAGCGCGGCCATCTTGGGGTCAGAGCGTTGCGCAGCTCAGTCTGCATCTAGCCGTGCTAGTGAGAGGTTCGTGCTGTGCTCCGTTCAGATACTGTGACGGTTTGAAATATCTGCGTTAATTGAAAATCCCGCGAGGTGCGCTCAGTAATAAGGTTTCTGACTGCAAAAAACTGTAAACCGATAGAAATCTATCGGCAGCTTCGTGAAGTGTATGGGGACAACATTATCACTGAAGGTGGAGTGCGTCAGTGGGTCATAAGATTTCAAAATGGCCGAACCAATGTTCACGACGAAGATCGAAGTGGGAGACCCAGCATAGTGACCGCCGAACTTCTCGAAAAAGTCGATGCTAAAGTCCGTGAAATCGAAATTTCACAATAACGGAACTTCTTTGAGTTTTCCACAAATTTCGCGAAGTTTGTTGCACGAAATCATCAGCGAAAAGCTTGGTTACCAGAAGTTTTGTGCAAGATGGATTCCAAAAATCTTGACAGAGGACCACAAAAATCAGCGAATGGCTGCAGCGTTGAACTTTTTTGGACGCTTACCATAAGGATGGTGACTCTTTACTCGATCGCATCGTTACTGGTGACGAAACATGGGTGAAAACATGTGAACTGTGAAACGAAATTGCAATCAATGCGTTTTGATGACGACGCACAGCTGCAAGAAGAGGTAACGAAGTGGTTGAAGGCGCAGGCGGCCGAATTTTTCGACGAAGGAATTTCCAAGCTCGTACATCGCTACGATAAATGCCTTAATTTGTATGGTGACTATGTAGAAAAGTAGTATTTGAGTGTGGCTTTCATCTGTATATAATAAAATTTGTTTCCTATACTTTGTTTATTTTTTTATTCCAAAACGTAATCTACTTTCTGGATAGCCCTCGTACATGAAGATCATCAATGGTCAAAACCCATTGGACATTTAGTTGTTTCCATCTCGAAAAGTGCTTAGGGTTCAACAAAGGGGGCGACCGAATTACATGTGAGAAAAGTGAAGTTCATCCTAGTTTTGATGGATGAAATGTGGACTCGGGGGATGGATTCGAGGGTCCACCAGCTCTTCCTTCCTTACCTTCAAACCTCTCAAGAAATGTTTCGACTCACTAGTGTTTTGACTATTCCCCAATGCTGTTTGACAATATTCGGACTCAGATCCAACGATACAGCAGTCAGCACTACCGACTGCAGTGGCAATGTAATAATTAAAATAATAATATAATTTCATTCATTTCTAATCCTAAATTTTAGGCCAAATTCATATGCTATGCTCCTGTAGATCACTTACAGAAGAAAACAAATTAATAGTATTAAACTGAAATAAAAACAGAAATAGAATGAATTAGAGCATTTTGTGGTTTCTGGTTAACTATGATTCCAAATTAATTTCATACGTTTACTTCCTTATATAATTTTTTTATGTATCATACGTCGTCTTATTCTTGTTTTGGAATCAGTTTCGAACATAGAGGAAGTGAAATGATGAGGATTAAGTCGAAAGCAGTGTTAGAAAGTGCTTAAAGTACTCAGTAAGATGCGGATCAATCATTTAGAAAAGAACACAAAATAAGAAGAAAAGTCTTTTGTTCTACGCGGTGACAGGAAATACACAACAAAATTGTCGCACGATTAAAATGACATTTTGCAATTGGTATGCAATTCCGCTTTGAAAGTGAGTAAGTCTGCCTAAATCGTATATATTAATGTAAACTTCCTCCAAATACGTTATTGATGGAATTCCAAATCACTTTCCAAATTTCTGTTGCTTGCTTACAGTTAAGAGAGGAAACGGGAACAAGAAAACTCTTCATGCACGAAAGATTCGCGTTGCGCTCGAATTGCTCACGTAGAGTTTGCTCTTAATCATCAGTAAATACCTGATAGAAATCGGATATTATGGTAAGGACGTAAAACAGTTACAACTGAAGATATTATTTATAACGTTTCCGTAGTAAATTTAAGAACACGATTTATATTACATGCCGTTAAGAAAAGTTTTTTCTGAAGCTAAATAATACTGGTAACAACAAGATACCTGCCCTTTTCTATTATATTATTTGTTGTAAGCCCACTAGCTTTCATTCATTAAATTTTATCTTTTCTGTCATTTTGAAAAGGGCCTGATTCACAAACTTGGTGGATTCTTCCTCTAAAATTTTCGACTAATAAAACTAATTTGCATCGTCACTATCTAATTAGTATATCATCGTCATTATATCACTACTGAAAGAAATTACCATTAGTAAATAGCAGTCATCAGTGACATAGTCACAAGTCAATAGTAACCACCAGTGAGATAGTCAATGGCCAATAACTGGTAAAAACAATTTTAATCAGTAATCTAGTAACTTTTACTCTGGTGTTGCATTGAAAAAAGAAAGAAAGTATTATTTTAAGTATGTCAAATATTTATATTACTTCAAGTAACTAAGATCTTGCCTGCTCTATAAATTTTAATTCTTTTCCTTTCTTTAAAATAAAAAACCGTTCATTAAACTGAAAAAGAAGTAAAATAAAAATATAAAATATAAGAAATAATGATAAATCTATATGATAAATATGTAATGATAAATATGCTTAGAAATAATGATAAATACGTAAAATTATAAATACAAAATAAAGAAATAAGTAAACTATAAAAAATAAAATATAGCGAAGTATAAATACATAAAATGTAATTAAAAATTTACGTACTGAAATGCTTTATCGTATGTATAACACATAATTATTTTTGTCTTATTACTTTTTCATGCGACCGAATGGTTAAAGTGCTGAATACTGGAATTTCGACCCAAATTGATCGCAGGAAATTGGCAAGCTGTACGATTGGTTGGCTTTCGTGGTTTTGTTCTCTTAACGTGAACATGAATCAGTTTCCCTGAGAAAATTCTCCAAGAGAGCATACATCCCCTTAGGCAAATAGCCCTCGTGTGCTTTTTCATATTCCAGTAACCTAACCTAAATAAGATTTTATTATTTTCTACCATAGAAGAGGTACAACCTCTGCAAAATTATCGAGAAACACAAGTTTTAAGCACCTATTCACTCTAAGAAACTTGATGTTTTCATTCATTATCTCTCTATGCCAAGAGTGCAAAGATTTATTCCATGGTTTACATTTTGCGTCTAAGGAAAACGATTCCCAAGGATGTAGATAAACTTTGATTTGTTTAAAATGTAGTAGCACCAGAAATTGAGAGGGAAAAAATGTAAATCGTCTTGGGCCGTATTTTCAGACTTAGTTGTCTGTGAGCAAACTGCAGAATCAAAACTAAAACAACATCGCAGCAACTATTGTGTCTCGATTTCAGATCTTCTGAAAACGAGGATGACTATCAACTGAATTGTGATGGCTTGTATAAAATTTGAATCCAGGGCTTTAAAAAACTGCGCATCAGATGCCAACCCATTCAAATAAGTCGGGTTTGTTTCGTATTCTGTACCCGTGATCGGAATATTCTAAACAAAACCATTTTTGAAAACTAAATCTCGTCCGATTCGATTGGTGGCTGGCTGTGAAAGCTTTCCGAGCGCAAGGAGAATTCTAATCCTTGCCGCTGTTTCTTTCTACTTTATCCTTCTCGTCTGATTTCTGACTTTGTTTTGCCTGAATTCCTTAAATGCAATTCTTGTCGATTTGGCTATGTTATTTTCTCTAGTATTCAGTCAGTAACATAATTAATTAATTGTAATGACAAACATGTATACAATAGCGTGATAACACCCGAAGTAATTATTAATCTATAGATGTAAATATGGATTACATCTAATTAGACATGTGGTGTTTTGGGTAACCTATTTCAATGGATACAATATCTAGTTTTAAAAATAATGTTTTAGAGACGCCACAAATAAATCTAATCTAAAGAAGTTCATAATCTAATATTTAGTTACATCTACACAAATCGAAAAGAATGTCCTTTTTCTATTCTTCCCACTTCTTGTTTCCTAAAAGATGTTTTCCTTTAAATGGAATACGTTTCTACTGTTTGATTCTTTGCCCCGCAGCCATAGTGAAAAATATCTGTTTATATCGGAAAAATTAATATGAGTCCTCTAAATCAGGCATATAATCGTACTTTCTAACTTTCAAGTCGAGGTTTGATTCATTATCCTCAAAAACATATAGCAGACTTAAAAATAATAAAAAGTGATTAATTATATATTTAACATTCGAAAATTGTTATTGTTGTACTACATTTCTGCTGTGAGTTTTAAAATAAGATAATTCCTCTACATCTAGATAATTTTTAAGAAGAAGTTTAATTAAAATTAAATTATGTTTAACCTTACATATTTCCTTTTAATTTCAGTAGTTGATGTTAAAATACACATTTAATACTGAGTACGTTTCTTTTATGCGTTAGTGTGGTATGGTATGCATGAATTTAGTAATATAAAATGTGAACAGAAAAACAAAATCTCAATCTTGTCTTCTCATTCCTCCTAGATGAAGTTCTGCATCAAGGCCTGTTTTGTGGTCTTGGTGGTTGCTGTGTACTGCGCTTCAGCTGAACCTGAACCAGAACCAGAACCAGGGTAAGTTATCAATTCTACAACTATTCACGTTTCATAACTCTCTAGATTAATAACACTGAAAAAGGGAAATCGACTTCTTGCTCTTCATATATTTCCTTCTGGCAATATAGGTTTTGCATGAATGATATAAAGACATGGAATAAATAGAGATTATTTGTAAAATCGGTACCTTTTTCATTATAGAACAACACGTGCCAAATAATTTTCCGTAGAAGGATACATGCACGAACTTCAGACTCTCTTAAAAGTCGCTTAGATCAGTTGAATAAAAAAATCTGATGTGTACACCACATGACTTCCTTGTACGGAATATTAAATTATACGCATTTTTTCTTGCATTTCATTTAAACTTATTAGATTGAATTAAACCTACTTCGCCGACACCGCATAAACCACAATAGAAAAAACGCATTCTTTAAAATTCAGTTTGTTTACCATAGCGACACTCTGGCGCTAGGTTCACATAACAGTATTATATTTCGTTCATATTATAACTCAGAATGCACAAAATTTATATCATTTAAAGAATTATCTAATCGTTGCCACATGTTCTATTCAAATAAAGCTAGAACGATGTATAAAAGAAATTAAGCAAACAAAACAAAAAGGAAACAGTTTTTCACAGACGATTGAGTATTTCTCATTCAATTAATTCAGCTTTCACTTCGCGAAAAGTAAAAAATACATAAAAACTGAAAATATCTGTATTAAAAATTACGAAGTAAATCTTAAACGCTTATTTCCTCGAAAAAATTCCAGAAAGGATTAAGCATGATTTAAATAATAAATGAAGGCGTTACCTTTGTTGTTGTGAAGCTAAGTTTCTCTAGATTGGCAACAAATCCGCTATCCTGCTGTTTCAAATGTAAACAAGAGCAATGGCCGCCATCAAAAACATTATTAGGCTTAGCGGCACTTAAACAATTTTAAAATTGTTGATAATTCTAAAAATATTGCATACAGATTTACTAAAGGCATAAAAACCTTAACCGGAAGATAAGAACAACATAATTCAATCATTTTTAAGCAAAAAATGTACAATTTACAAACATATAAGAGTAAAGAAACTGAGATCACTGAGCCGGGTAACAGAGTAGGTTATATAATAACATATAATTTGTATACTTTTGGTGCGGCCGATTGCAACGAAAATACGAAGTGCACATCTACATGTTTATAGCAGTCCTATATACAAAATTTCAACGTTTCTGAGGCTACTCGTTTTTTTGAGTTTATGCGAGATACGTACATATGTTCGTACAGACGCCACGAAAATTCTCTTCAGAATTTCATTTTAAAAAGCTTTTATAATTTTTTTGGAGAAAAAGAGTGTTTTATTCTGTCCTTACGTACAGATAACACGGAAATACATCGTTAAATTGCATTTGGAAGAAGTCAAAAGGGGGATATTTTCGTTGAAATATGCTACCTGAAACTTTTCGCGATTACAATACTTCCTTTTTACTTCGTACAAGGAAGTAAAAATCGAATGGAACGTTTTAGAAGTTTTCATTTAAAATATTTACTTTGAAAATTAACATATTGTTATAATAGGCATTTAAAAAAATTATTTATTAAAATAACTGCAATTTAGATGTTGAAAAATATTAGTTTCTTCCGCATGTTAAAAAAATATAAATTATCCGTTAAATTGAGACACTATTTTGAAATCTAACTCTCTAAATCTAGGTGCGTATATTTTGACACAGCTTTGGAACTTAAACTAAAGCTGAAATTTTTAGTTAAGAAAAGATCGTGGAAAACTGAGTACTTAAAGAAATGGAAACTGTTTTGGAAGCGATTCATATTTCAAAAGATGGAAAAAATTTAAAATATTAATATTTATAAAATATACTATTACTACTACAAAATATTTAATTATTCCCTTTGGATAAAAAAAAGCTTAAAATGTCAGATTTTTATATGACTTAACATAGAAAATGAGAAAATAAATCATTTAAACTTACTGTTTGAAGTCAGTAATGCTTCATATTAAATTAGACCTGTTCCATATCAAATCAGTATATTTGCTTCTTATCTTATTACGCTTCATATAAAACTATGTGTACTATGCTTCATATCAAATCCGTCAGTACAAAATATATGTGTAAAATCAAATAATATCAAATCACTGCCAATCAGTACCATATTAAATCAGTATATCGTTTCATATGAAATCAGTTAGCTTCATCTAAAAACTTATTACTTGAAATCAGTTATATTTCATAGCAACATATTCTTCTTCATATCATTTAAATTGGGTATATTATGCTTCATATATATAATAAAATACATTATGCTTTATATAAAATCAATTAGTATGAAAGTAGGTATATGTATTAAATCTGTTAGTATCAAATCACTATGTTAATTACTACATCTGTATGTGATAGATCAGTTCGTATGAAAATATGTATGGTGCTTCATATCAAATCAATTGTTATGTTGCATAGCAAATTAGTTTTAAAGTTAACTGATTAACATTTCAAACTTCATATAAAATAAATTAGACTTATTATATGAAATCACTTATATCTTTATATTTATCAAACTCAACACACATGAATACAAGAATGAAACAAACTGAGCAGGTTACTAAAATTTCGTATTTTACTGTGTTACAATAAAGTGTACCACGTGACTAAGCAAACAATAAATCCCAGCTTAAAGCACTTATTTCTCATACTATTCAGTGCGCGCTCAAGCAGAAAACAGAGTAAGTAAAGCAATGATTTGAGTAATGTCTTCAAACGGTACCGTCTCCTACATTCCTCCCAAATAGACGAAACACGTTTTGCTGTTTTATTTTCTCCGAGCCACGAATTTAGTAGATGAAATCAGCCGTGCATGACTTCCAAAACAAAGGAGAAAGTGTTTACTTTTCGCATTTTCACTTTGCTCAGTTCCCTTTCTTTTGCCATCCGGCGAACTTTAAATTTCCCCATTTTCTTTAATTATTCTATGCATCTTAATTCTCACTTACAGTTAATTTCAAAATATCTGAAACGAATACCCGCTCTTAAATTAAAATCGTGGTTAATTCGAAAACAGACATAAAGAAAAAAAAAAAAAAGACAGTGGAAAACGTAATAATTCATATTGCAATTAGCAGATAAGTGTTTGTAATACTTTACTTGTTTTTTCAAGTGAACAGTTTCATCCACAGTTTCAAGCAGTTTCATCCATAGAATAAATTCATTAGGCTATGTAAGTTAAATCAGTATTCAGAACGTAAAGAACATGAGAACATAAAGTAAATAACGGGAAAATATTATTTATATTTATTGTAAAAGCACCATGAATTTATAATAAATTATATTTCTCACAAGAACTGTAAATTTAATAAAACACTTATGTATTAAAAATAAAAATAATAAACCGAACACTTTTTATAATAAACATTGTAATAAGCACTTTAATTTATCATAAATTGTATTTATTAAAAAAATTGTAAAAGAATAAACAACTGGAAACTATTAATTGCATGAACTATTTTAACTATTACTTGAATAACTGGAAACTATTAATTATATTAACTATTTTAATTTCTCTGTTAATAATAAAGATATTAATTTTAAAATGGCATTAAAGAAAAATTTTTCTAATTCGTTTCCTTCTTGTATTTTCTGTATACACTTTAGTTTTATGTAGATAGTTTGTGAATATTGTTTTTATTTTAATGATCCATAATAAGTAAACTTAACTTGGGTACCAGAGATGGTCTGGTTAATCCGCAAGCTGGTTAATCGGAAGTTCATTGTATAATCTTGACAATCAAGGTGATTATATGAGGAAGTTATACAAGGCATATAGTGATACAGTATACGGAACATAATCTTATACACTAAAAGGAATTAGATAGTATAAAGAACATGATATAATGAAGTTATACTATAAGAGGAATTATCATATTATCCCATGCGTGCTCTCCTTTTGTAAATTAGCGAACATATTCGGCTGGCAAATTTGAAGATCTGTGGTTCGAATCCTGAAGAGGACGCTGTTTATTTTGCACGTTTCTGACTCTAGAAATCTTAATAGTCTGTACAAGTTTAGCAATAATATACAGCGAGGTATAAATTGTAACAAAAATATTTATTGGTAATTCCTCCCATTAGTATAGCTTTAAATAATTTGCAATCGAAAACGTATGCAATTAGTACTACTAACGCGCTGCGGGAAATATATGCAGGTCAAGATTAGATCACAAATTCTGAATGCTAGTCGAAAGAATGAATAAAACCTTACTTGATTTCTAATTGACTTGAAGGTTTCAATAATATATAATCAAATCTTTGCAATTTAATAATAATCTAACAACCTAATAATCGCTATAATTTCCCTTGGAATATATCTACTGCCATTTTAGGAATTTTAGCTGATTATAAATTCTTTTCTTCAAGTTACAATAAATCATCGACTTCAAAGTAGTGAATTTTCCTTTTATCTATTTTTTGAATTAACTAAGACAAATAATTACGATTAATTACAACATTAAAAGTAAATAAATGTTTGAAACCAAACTCTTTACATCTAACATTTCAGATAAACAGCACTCAGTTTAAACAATAAATTAGTTTCATTCTCGTATATACTAAGAATTAAACTTAATTACTGAGTATTTCCTTATATTATAAAAGAGTATTATAAAAGATTAATTGTAAAATGAAAATTATATAACACTGTAGAGTTATTAGGTTATTTTGAAGCAGGATACATGAAAAATCAGCAATGCCCTTCGTAGGACTCGAACCTGAACTTCTCGAACACACACCGAGTGTGCCACAGTTACACCAGGAAGGCATCATGAAATGAGGGAGAAAATACCTTATAACTGTATACAGCTATAAGCAAAGTTCTTCTGAAATAAAAACAAAAATAATTTAGTTACATATGAAGATGACATGGCTATATTGCCAGTTTGCTTACTGATATTGCTTTATAAATCATTTGCGCTATAAGTATATAAATATTGTTCTTCCTCTAAAAAATATTCTCTTTTTCAGACATGAAGAAAAGCAAGTGATTGTCGTCAAGGACAAACAAGAGCATCACCATCATCATCACCATCACCATCATCATTCTCACGGTCACGAACACAAGCACGGTCACGAACATAAGCATGGTCATGAGCATAAGCATGACCATAACCACGGACACAAGCACTTGCATGGACACAAGCATGAGCACGGGCACAAACATGAACATGGCCACAAACACGAGCACGGACACAAACACGGTCATCACCATCATCATGGCCATGAACACAAACACGGACACCATCACAAACACGGACATCATCACAAACACGGACATGAGCACAAGCATGGTCATCATCACAAACACGGGCATGAACACAAGCACGGACACGATCACAAACATGGTCACGAACACAAGCACGAACATGGACACAAGCACGGTCACCACCATCTCCACAAGCACGGTCATGAACACGGGCATAAGCACGGTCATGAGCACGGACATCACCACGGACACCACCACGCACACAAACATGGCCACGAGCACGGACATCACCATGCTCACAAACACGGACATGAACACGGACATCATCATGGACACCACCACGGACATAAACACGGCCACGAACATGGACATCATCATGCTCACAAACATGGACACGAACACGGACATCATCACGGACATCATCATGGCCACAAGCACGGACATCATCATGGACATCATCACGGTCACAAGCACGGACACCACCATGGTCACAAGCACGGACATCACCACGGCCACAAACACGGACATCACCACGGACACCACCACGGCCACAAGCACGGACACGAGCACGGTCACAAGCACGGACACCATCACGGCCACAAGCATGGCCACGAGCACGGACACCACCACGGTCACAAACATGAAATCCATTTTAGTCACGGTGGCCATCATGGTCATGGTTTGGATCTTCATGGATATGACTTGCACCGATGAATTTAGAATATTGAAGCCAAAGAAGTTTTCCAATGAGGCAAAATGCCATTTCTTACCTATCTTTAGTCAAGAGTCAAAAGACAAGCATGAAAGGACTCTTTTCTCAAGTCTTCCAGGATTTAAACGAAGTTTTACACTGAAAATACTTCCTGGGATATTGATATTAGCCAAGCCCGTAACATCCGCCCATATCAATCAATAGTGAAGTGATACTTACGCATTACATTGCCAATGAAGCAGTGGAAAATAAACGGGCGGACATAAGTTTTTGTCTGAAGTTTTGTGAATCTTAGGTAAGATTTTTTCAAGAGCGTACATGAAAGCTGTCAGGAAAATTATACAGATAACTTGAAATATCTAAATTCACATATTAAGAATATGTGGTACTTTTTAGAGATCCGGTATCAGCTCTGAGGAAGTGTTAATCGGGTTTAAATAGTACAGACATATTCAATATCTATAGTATAATTTAAATAAATAATAAAATTTCAGTTAAGGATTCGAATTCTCGCCGTCGCTCAAAAACGTTCCGTGAAGTTCTATTTTTTAAATTTAAGTTTTTAAAATTACTTTTAAATTTAAGTAATTTATGGCAGATTTGAAGTATTATAAAGCAAGCTATAACACAATTAATTTGTTTTTTCGAATTTAGAAATAACAGCAAGATGGTTTTAAACTACCTTGCTATTGTTAATTAATATCTAAAAACTGCTTCTGCTCTACATCAATATCGGTTTCTGGATACTGTTATGGTTACTCTTGTCTCTCTGCTCATTGAGAGACCCGTTTATCATGATGCTCAACAAGAGAATGTGATAAAACTCATGCTCAATTTTAGCAAATCGTGCAAAGCGAGTATGCATTATTTATTTATTTCCTCAAAGGCTTTTGGTCTATGTTAGCAAAGGTTTCGATGTATTTTGTCTTAATTTATTTTTTTAACTGTCGCGGTGCCTATGGAATTGTTTGTTAAGGATTGCTTTAATGTTGAAAGTTGTGGTGTAAATAAAATAATTTATTGAAAATGCCTCTTTTATTTTCCTTTCGCTGAATTTTAATAACAAAATCCAATAACAAAAATGTTTCAATGATTAAAAAATACTCATACTTTTCGCATTTTGAAGTTAAGAAAGTCAATTCTGTAAATTCGGAAATCTAACTTTTTAGCAATAAACTCCAATTAAAAGAAATCAGTTCTGTAATTTGGAAAACTCGACTGACTATGTTAGAATTAGAAGACTTAAACCACTTTCACTGGATTAAAAAATGGACTTAAGGTATACATAAGAATTGTATTTCTTTAAATAAAGTTTTTAATTTTATCATTTTGCCAAATGTGAATTTAAAATTCCCACTTCTTTACAACAGGCGTGAGAAATAGTTCTTTGAAATCTTTATTCTGAAATTTAGCATATTGCCCAAAGCATAAATTATGGAAAGTTTTTTATTAGTAGCTGTTAAAGGATTTATTTGGTTTGCTTGATTTATTTTGACTATGGCAAAGCAATAGAGTTATGTTCCTAAAAGAGGGATGTCTTCGGAGAGGACTTTCTAAGGGGAACTGCCTCCTATACGTTACACATGGGGAAAACCACGAAAAGACAGCCATACAATCAGCCCGTACGAAGGGATTCAAACTCTGAACGGAAATACCAGTGTTCAACGACTTTTCATTGTTCGCCTGTCTGGTCGACTTTACTCCTCGATGGGCCAACTACTAAAGGAATTCTTACAAAATGCTGATAGAACATATACAGTATCCGCCGCTTATTAAAATTACTTCCGTTTCAAACATATTTGAGCAGCTGAGTTTAAAAGACAGGAATTTGTACGTTGTAAATCAAGATATCAGTTTTAAACTTTCTAAGTAACTAACAACTAATTCAGTAACTAATAAAATAATTAAATATTATTGCTAAAATGAAACTATTTACGCAAATATAGAAATTCATTTTTTAGATTCTTATAAAACTATTTTTGTAATTACATTTTTGACGTAATTTTATCTCTTACAAGTAGCTATTCTGTGTTTGTTTCATATTATTGTACTAAAGTTTTTCTATTATACTCTCAGTTTTTATAACACTGCTGCCAAGGTTTTTGATCAACACCTTTCAGTTCAACAATTTTTCCTAAATTTGCAGTGTATTTCTAGATTCAATTGATACTGGCATATCACCACTTTTTTTCGTATCATCTTCTCTTTCTTCAGTTCTTTTAGAACTTTTTTAATCAGTTTTTATACACATTGCCTCAATATTTTGGGGAATTGACACATATAAGAATGAATCTTTTATAACTTCCCTCTCTGGTGTTTCAAACGCTAACTTACAACTAACTCCTCTAAGGCTTCTTCTGCCCTAAAGTTACATTTTCAAAAACAGTTTTTAACTGAATTTAAGAGATCAACCAGCCGAATTGACAAAAATATTTGTATAGTATGACCTCTAGCTTAGATATTGATTTACACATGTCTTTGAAAGTGCTTGCATTTTCACAAAATTCAGTTTTGCTCATCACACATCTTTTCAGTAATAACAGTAAGAAACATTTAGAATAGCCTGGCCTAAAGACTGAATGTTAGAAGATGTATTTGCGGGAAGCGATCCAAATGTTTTCAGAAAGAGGTCAGAGGTTTGTGTACTGCACAGTTGTAGAGACATTAGGTATTTTTTTAAACAGGAGAGGTGAAGAATGAGCAAAGCCTTCACCAGGAATCGAACCGCACCTCTGTAATACGCGTCCAGCGTGCAGACCACCACACTACAAAGGCATGCTAGGAAGGCGGGAGACATACCTTATATACTCCCCCTTTTAAAGGGCGACTGGGGTTTTTAAGGGACCCAATCGCAAATCCTGTGTGTGGAGAATCATCATCCACCACCCTTTTAGTTCGGGCGCCACTGTAGAGACATTAGGTTTAGGGTTTTTTTGAAATAGGAGAGATGAAAATTGAGTAACGCCATCGCCGGGAACCGAACCTCGGACCTCTGGAATACGCGTCCAGCGTGTAGACCACCACACCATGAAGGCATCCTAGGAAGGAGGGGAAAATACCTTATTATTAAAGTTATTTTTTTCATTTTTAGTTCGTTCTCCTCTTTCAGAGGGAAATCAGTAAAAATACTACTTTCCATCCATGAATTCTTGTTGCTGTGGTAGGTTAGAGGCAGATTCTTGACTTCTTTTAACATCGGAGCTTTCCACTTTCGTCAGAAATCCGTGCTCTCTTCTTAATTGTTGGGTCCATATATTGCACGTTAACACAATAGCCCATTACTTCAATTTCTTAAACCGGCTGCTTTTAAAATATATCATATAAACTTTCCTTTTTAAATATATCATGAGTTCTAGGAATTCTTTATAACGGAGTCCAGTTTTATCAGCTTTACAAATTTCGTGTGGCTTGTATTCATTTTCAGTCCAAATAAAACGCCTGTTATTCAGTTTTCAGCCACATGATGGTCTACCTCTTTCTTCTCACCTTGCAATTTTGGATGAACGACGTTGATTGGTTTTTCTCCATCTTGTAAGCCATCCGTCAGTTGATACACAATTGTCTCCTAGTATTTAGCGAATTGGTTTAAAAGGCTCTAGCTATAGAAACAACTTTTAGTTTTATAGCTTGAAACAATTTTAGAAAAGCAATTTAAACGTTTCTTGATTTTCTCTGCTTTTGCATCTCCTTCACGGTAAAAAAAAAGTTCGCTCTTTACAAGCAAAAGTTTTGCAAAGTTACAGAAATCAAAAAGTTACAGAAGAATTTCCTGTAATGGTAACAGGTTGAAAGCAAACTGTAGCGGTAACAGCTAATTTGCTTGTAGCATTACAGATAATGTTTCAGTAACCGCGCGGAAGAATCACGTGACTGACTGGAAATTAGCCAATCAGGAGAAAAGTGTTTGAAAGCTAGTTACAGAAAAAAAAACATGGCTGAATGCATGTTGGTTGTATAGCGCAGGTAAGTAAGAAAATGTTTACAATTACTACTTGAAATATTTTTTGTTCATTTTATGCAGATTATTCTCATGCACTTTGCACTGTTATATGTAGTGAGTATTTAAACGTTTAAGCTTTGCGATTAATTAATATCAGTGTTCGTAATGTCTAATGAGTTGAAAGAGAGCAAAATATTTATTCCAAATGCAGATCTAATAGTAGTATTTTGTCATTGTGCATCCGATAAATTACGCCCTTAAATTGCCCGTATTATTATTTAAAACTAATTATTCCAAAATTTAATCACTGTTTGTGGTATTTAATTGAAATGGTAATGTGGTTGTTGAAAACAAAACTAATCATGTTAGCGTTCTTTTCCGATCGTCTGACCAAAGAACGTTTGACATCTTTTCCCGGCAGTCCTTGCGAGAAACGTTTATATAAACATTTAGAATTCTGAATGTAATGTATATATTTTTGTTTACTAGGTTTAGTTTATTCTTTTTCTAGGATTACCTAATTAGTTATACCTGGTTTCATATTCAGTCTAATATGTTTATGTACGAGTGTGTTATGAAGTAAAATTACAAAAACTTGAACAACGCGGTCGAGAATCTCGTTTATTCCTTTTTAGTGTAATAATATTTTTTTCAGTGGTATTAATTTCTTATAATTCCAAAATGAAGTAATTATATTGATAAAAAATATGCCGTATCATACTTTTCGTAATGTTTTGTTTTACTAACTAGATGCAACTTAATTATTCCATATATTTTAATATACCAATATCAACAGGGGAAAAATGGAAATGACCTAAAATATTTTTCTAACAATTCGTTAAACTAATTATAAAACAAAACTAAAATTGTGTGCATTATTTCCAAAAATATCATTTCATTAATATTTTATGAATGACAACATATATTATATTGTATATATAACTACCATTGCATACTTATAAGTTTTTAAACATTTAATGTAGAATTTATGTTGATTTTATTTTGCCCAGTTTTAATACAGTTTTGAAGTATGATAGTCTTTGTAGTATCGCTTCAGTTCCG